TCACATCACCCTCTCCTCCCAAGCATGAATGAGAAACTAGTGGCCATGAAACTATCTATCTAGAGCTAGTCTTTAGTTTGTCCCTTCTGAGCTATTGTAGATAAATGTCAGTCCAACATGGCGGACTCTGTAGAAGAGGACCCACTCCCTCTGTAGATAAAAACTGCTCTGTCTAAGGTAACAAATCAGAATGATTCTTATATTCAGGCGATTACACACTAATGAAAACATACATAAGAATATTAAATTCCATTTCTGCCAATAGATCCTCCTAAATGTTACACACTGGAGCTGTAAATCTTATCTTAAACCCACCATTATGTTAATTATGGCCATGAGTTTATTAGGTATTAATACAAAAGGAAGATGCTGGAAGATAGAAAAGGAAGAGATTAATCTGATTGAATAAAGTAGCTAATGAAGGACATGAAGCACCTGTTGGTGGGTTTTAAACAGCCTGCTTTTCTTTGTACCTGTGCTCCGTTGTTTGGTCTCTCAGCAGCCTCAGGTTGTTGTTGTAATGACCTCTCTCTTCTGACAGAAAGATACAAACAAAGAAACAAAGGAATAACTACACACAGACAGACTTTACAGCATATAGGTTCACATTTTCTCATACGTTGATACAATGCTCACATAACTCTGAGAGAGTTATTGGCTGCTGTAGTTGTTCCTCTTGTTCACACTGACCACAAATAAATCTCTCCCTAGAGTAGCTTCAGTGTAAGTGATGGCAGAAACCTTAATCTAAAATCTTCATACTGTGGAAGAACTGCACTCTAAAGCTCAGCTGGATCAAGTTGGTATCTTCCACTGTCTTTTTAGTTTGGAGGGAGGATTGTAGATTTCATCCTGCATCACTTACACTGACATTGCTTTAAGAGGGGATCTCTTCAGGGTCAATATGGACAGAAGGAATAATCTCAAACTAAACCTCTTCCAATGTACAGATGTGAATCTTTCCTTTAAAATACAGAGTAAATTTAATCACAGAGAAACTGATCTGCTCACCTCATACACAGAAAGACAGAGAGGAGTATGAAGACCAGAACAATAGCAGCGATTGACAGAATGACTGGAAACTTCCATGAACCTGGAAACCTGGAACCTGGAAAACAGTGATCAAGCACAAACACTGGGAGTTGCAGGAGTTCTTGGGTCCAATAGTGACTGATAGTTGGACAAAAATAATGTCATTTCTTATTTAATGCTGTTTTTTGGGAGGGGGTTGGTTATGTGTCACAATGAAAAAAATAATCCTAAAGGAGAGTTACTGTGACCCAAGGTCAGCTCAGAGATGTGTGAGGAGCCCTGAATGTGGTTGTGTGGTGGCACCTTGTCAGGTGGATGTAAGATCTGCAGTTAAGGTGTGTGTAGGTCAATGATTCAACTCACCTGCTACAACAATCAGATGTAAGGTGGAGTTATGACGTCCTCTTGCATTCTGGGCTTCACAGTAATAAAGAAGATATTCCGGAGACTCATCTCTTTGTGCTTGAAAGGACACGAGAATTATGGCTCTCCTCAGTGTGTGATTTATTGATTGTCAGGAAATAAGAACAGACATACAGTAATGGAATTTGTCTAGAATCTTAATGTGACACTGAGCATAAATCATTTATAAACTACTTAATACATGAAGAGTCATGTTAAAAAGGTAATATTCAGATATAATGTTGTGATTATTACCACTTTAAATAGTTTTCTATTATGGGACATGTTTTAGTATGTGAGAGAATTAGAATAAAAATACTGTTATTGCTGTATTTTAATGTTACTTTCTATAATGATGGTCAATACTCTTTATCGAGATTGAATTGAACAGTTTTTTGAGCTGAGCAGAATGGAATATTTAATCTAACTTTTAGTTTCATAGTAAAACTTTAAATGTGAGATCCCACGTTTCCGTGAGGTGTAATTCATGAGGACTCGGCAGAGCAGCTCAGTCTTTGAATTAGTAATGGTAACCCCAAAAATATATAATTGCTGCTATAACACCAGAGGCTGTTATACAACTGGTGGCATAAGTTAAGGACCCAAAACGCAAAAACAGAAGAATCTGATGTACAACAATCCTGTCACATGCAAATAATGACACAGGAGGTTCAAGAAACACAAGCAAACAAATCCAGGCCTAGAGGCAAAGGTAGAGTCACAAACAAGGCAGAAATCCAAAAACCAGAAGTGAACCAGACGACCTGTGGAGAAGGACAGAAAGGGGTTTGCCAGGCTGGAGGGTGCAGGTCATGAGGTACAATGATGAAACTGCCACCAGGCGAAAATGGACACTCATGCCAAATATATATGTGAGGAAGAAACTCAATGAGATACTGCCCTCCACAAACCAAGGCTCGGAGGGAAAATTAAAAAAGAGACGTAAGAGCAACACAGAACAAGAGACAGGAAACTCACAAATAAGTAGGAAGTAACAATGACTATAAATATAAAACACTAATGTTAGGAGAGACATGACCGAGGCTTGATGAAATATATAAAATGGTAAATAATATTTGCAAAATATTAAAACAAAAAAATACTGAATCATCTGTGATAACATAATCTACATCTTTAAATCATATTCTACATTTTACAGATCATCCGAAGCTTCCCTCTGTGTTCAGTGAGTCCCTCCCTGGTGACATAGGGAGAACAGTTCAGGTGACGCTGAGCTGTAGCAGTGATGCTAACCCAGGCACTTAATTATACTGTAGCAGGAACGAATGACGAATCCAGACCTTCCCTTCCTCTCAGTAAAGAACCCACAGCTTTCTTCAGGTCCATCCAGTCCTCTGACTCTGAAGAGTATTCACTGTTACAGCTGAGAACGAGCTGGGGAGGAGCAACATCCCAAAACATCTCTAATTGAATGTGAGTTGAATTTAATATTCAAAATAACAACTTAAACTGTCCAGTGTTTTGCCAGGAGGAGGTTTTACTGATCATAGTGTACTTTCTTGCAGCTCTACTTGCTTCAAATCTCACCATCTGCTGAATTCACTGAGCAGCTCCAGGCGAGATTTTAGGAGTTTAATGCAGTTTTGGGATCCCAAGATTCCAAACTGTCATCAGAGGAATTATTGTAAAAGACTCACCCCCCTCCAAACGCTCTCTAAGCAACCACCGTAGCGTTTTCGCTATGTTGAAAAATGATCCATATACACATTCACCATGATGTTTATGAGTTGTTCTGTGACATATCGTCTCTCGCAGATGCTCCGAGGGTTCCCTCCTGTGTCAGTGAGTCCTCTGTGAGATAACGTGGAGGGCGTCAGTGAATCTGACCTGTAAGCAGTGATGCTAGACCCACGCAGCTACATTATACTGGTACAAGGAAGGATGAAGACTCACCCCCAAAAAGCATCAGGACAAGAATCTTCACCATCATCGACTTAAAGACCTGAACACAGTGGAAATTATTC